ACCACTAACCTTTGTCCCCTTTTCTTTGATATGTTAACTTCCCCCTCAACCCCCTATAAAAACAGCCTCAGATTCTGAGCCAGTTGCCTCTCTAAGCTATTTTGCTTTGAGAGTGCCATCTGGCCAAACTAATAAGGGTCTGTTTCCCAACTTGGCTGGTGTGTTCCTTCCCGGGTGGTCTTCGCTGTAGCCAGCTCCTTGGAGCGTTTGGTAAGGCTCTTGGTCTTACATTCTGAAGGCACCGCTGGGATTCCTGGGTGTGCTTCATTAGTCAGCTCCTCGGAGCGTTTGGTAAGGCTCTTGGTCTTACATTCTGAAGGCACCGCTGGGATTCCTGGGTGTGCTCCACTTCAGCTCCTTGGAACATTTGGTAAGGCCCTTGGCCTTACATTCTGGAGGCACCGCTGGGATCCCTGGGTGTGCTCCACTACAGTCAGCTCCTTGGAGCATCTGGTAAGGCCCTTGGCCTTACATTCTGGAGGCACCGCTGGGATCCCTGGGTGTGCTTCACTATAGTCAGCTCCTCGGAGTGTTTGGTAAGGCCCTTGGTCTTACAGTAGCTCACCTAGTGTGTGACACTTCCTTGTGACTCCCCCTAACCTGGCACAGAGTGTGGAGAACGTCTCTATTGTTCTAACTGGCTCATCCATAACAATTCAAAGCCTAGTTATTGAAATGAATAGAGAAATGAATAAAGTAGCTTAAATTCTCCAAGCCTCAGTTTCCTCATCTACTGAAAGGCTATAAAAATACCTTAAGTGCTTAGACTCAGCTTCTTCCCTTACTCACCTCCCATCTGTCTTTTCCCTCTGGTTATGTTTGGGTCATACACTCTTAATCTCTTGGTGAAATTTGTTTATTCCCTCCTAGAGGCTGTCAAACTCCAAATGGATCCAGCGATGAACATGCTGAAGAAAATCATGGCTGCCGTCTCCTCTACGTTGACCCTTCTCAGCACAAAGCAGCCAGAGTTTGGTCTTCACCCTTTCTTCCCTAATGGCGGTTTGGGATACTTCTTCAGAGCGGGGAAAAGAAGAAAATAGTTTATTTAGTTAGCTTATGAGGAAGGCAGCTAGCCAGGGGAAGGGCCTGAGATAGAGTTGGGTGACAGTCACATGGATAAGAATTAAAATAATAGACAGTCGAACTAGGACTTCTTTGGACCAAGAATGAACTTCCTCAGGCAACATAGGATGCAGCCCACTCTCTGCTAAAGGGAGGTGCAGCCCCTCCCTACTAAACTCCTGAGTGCTGATGAAATTAAAATGCAAAATAACCAGGTTTTTCCTCTAAATTCTCAGTTTCTTTGAAAGCCTATCTGTTGAAGAAAGGGGTTAGAAGCCTGAGTCCCAAATGGTCATTTTAAAGTCACAGAGCCACCTGTGAGAGGTGGACACAAAACAACCAAACAGTTCCTGTGCTCTGCTTGGCTATAATTAGCTCCAGATTGAGGGGCCCTGGGGCCACCCACTCGGGACCCCTCCTGGAAATGTAGGAGCTACTTTCCTTGTTATTGTCAATAAAAGCTCCCTTAACCGCTCATAGAATACCTTAGGGGGTTGTTATGATGTAAAATCTGGTTCCTGTGTGGAAATGATGGCCTTGATATGAGGTCTTGTTACCAGGTGGTGGTCTTAAAGGATTCCTGGCCCACTTAATGCTCTTTGGGGTCAATAAGGTAACTCCAGAACGGAAGCAACTGCTCTTGTGCCTCTGCTGGGTAGACAGGTGAAGAAATAGCCCTGCATACAAATTGCTTAAAGGACAGCAGAGCCACTTGCACATTATTGTTGCTTCAAAACTGGTGCTTTGAGGCATTTGGAAACAATATACTTGCAGGGATTCATATCTCCAGCTAGGCATATCTCCAGCTAGGCATTACAGCTTGGACTATAATTTCACTGTAAAGGTGTCTTTCCTCCTTAAGCAGAGGGTCATTAAGTTTAACAGTGTCAAAGTGCTCTCAGTTAATACAACTTAATTAGGGCACAAGGAAATGTTGAAAGGCCCATTCACACTGAGAAATCTATTTATAGTTCTCTTTCTTTGGTGTATAGCGATTTATCCTGCAACACAGCAAGATAAATTACAAAGGAGTAATTATTTGCCCCTAAAGGAACAGAAGAAATGGAGATGTGTGTGCCCGCATGCTTGGCACTGGGGGTGGGGCGAAGTGCCTGGTGGAATCTCATTTCAAGGAGGCCTCCCCTGACTCCCAGACTGGGCTAGGTGCTCTCCTTTTCTTCCCCAGAGGCCTTTTTTCAACACACGCAGTCCCTAGCTTTACCTGTTTACCATTTTGTTATCGGGTTTTGGGGTGCTGGAGTCTCTTTCTGGTGGTTTCTAGGTTCTTTCTGTCCTGAGCAAAGAATTGGTCAAGACAAGCACAAATGGTAGCAAAGTTTTATTAAAGGTAGGAAAAGAATCAGGCTCTGTAGAGCGAGTTTGGGCCAAGTAAAAGTAGGAAACAAAGTACATCCTACAGTGCGAGGGTGGCCATCCCTCACGCAAGAGAGAACACAGTGGCAAAAACTCAATGTGCGGTGCCCTTTTTGTATCACCCACTCCTCAGGCTGATGTCAACTCAAGGCCATCCTGTAGTGAAGCTGCTCCAGCTCTCAGGAGAAGTCTGTGTGCAGGGGTTTGGGAACCGAGCATGTGTTCTGGGGTTTTGTAATTAACAGGTCACACCTACTTCTCCAGCCAGCTTTACTGCATCCTAATCTCCTGTCTCAATCTGTTTCCTCATCAAGATGTGATCTCCAAGAGGGCAGAAGAGGAACTGCCTCAGTCACTGCTGTATTCTGTGCCCAACACTGATGTATATGAGGTGCTCAACAACCATGTGAACCTGTTCCAACAAATGTTTATTAAACCCCTTCTTGGGGCTGTGAGTTCTGTGGGTGTGTGTTGGGGGGAACTGACAATGGTTAATTTGAATCAATTATTGGAGTTTAGAGTCAATCACTTATTGGAGTTTAATCAATACATGGAGTTTACAGTCAGATGAGAAGATAATAAATATAAAAAAATTATACCCATGATAAAGCACTTAGTGCTATGACTGTCTATTCTGGAAGTTTGACCTAATCAGGGAGGTCAGGAAAGTTTCCACAAAGAAATGATGTTTAAACTGAGATCTGAAGGATGGGAGAGTATTAAACTGAGGAGGGGAGGGGCAGGCAGGAGCAAAGGCCCTGGGGCAGAGAAATCCAAGGGCAAGAGAAACCTAAAGCTCAGTGTGGCTGGAAAGGGTTCCAGAGTCTAGGTGAGTCTGGAGGAGGAAGAGGATTGTATCACACAGGATTTGTATGGCCATGACACATGGTGTTCCGTTTGTTGATTGAATGAAGGCATTTTTCCAAATATGTATTCCAGGTTCCTCTATTTCTCTCTTGACACTTTTCTTTCAGAGAACCTGGCAGGAATTGGGAGTGGAGACCACTGTGCTCTTGTCATGCCTGATTCTTTCCCCTAAGCTCATGCCAACAGTAGCTCCATCCCTCATGCTCTTCTGCCGGGTGACCCTGTCACAACAGCCTCCTTGAACCTGGGTGGTCGGAACTGTAATCCCTGGAAAGCAGAGGAAGAGCAGCTGTGTGAAATTTGACGCCAGCTCAGAAAAGGCCCCTCAGCTCTCACCTGGCTCATTTGCTGCTTGGCTTTTCCTCGTGGGACCCCACTGCTGTGTCGGTAGCAGCTCAGGTCAGATGAAGAGGCCACACGTAGATCTTCGGTCACTAATCACAGCTAAGACCTAGCCTTCGTGTCTCTCTGGCCCGGCCACCAGGTACACACAAGGAAAAGCATCCTGATATTCCAGTCTATCAGTCCCAGGCAATTGAGTCTTTCCAGCTGAGGCCTTGGATGTCCTGAGAAGCCATCTTTAGAATCTGTGAGTGTAGCACCACGGCTCTAGTCTTAGCCTGCTTTAGTTTGGAGTGTCTGTTATGCAGCAGTAGGAAACCAGCACACATGTTAAAGGGGGCTCTGTGGGCAACTTTGCCAAGGGCAGCAGGTGGCCACTGAGGCTGCGACAATCACCTAGATCCCTATGATCTGACAGGAAATAAGGGATTCTCTTTCATGATGGAGTACAAGACCTGAGAGGCACCATTTTACCTGGGAAGACACCGCTCCCTTTCCCGGCAAGGCAAAGGCAGGGAGAGGGAACAGGCAGTCTACTCCCTCACTGAGAGTTCATCTCTGCCTCTCCTTTCCCAGGTGTGCTGAATGCCATGCTCTGGCTTTGATTTTCTGCTCAAGCCCTTATTTAATTGTTATTTTGGGATCAGTTGTTTTTGAAAGAACCCCCAGCTGATACATGCTGCTGGTATTTTGCCAAGAGAGATAAACAGTCTCAGCTTGCCCTGCAATTGAATTTCTGTTAGCAAAATACAGCAGCTGTGTCCTAGCAGAGGCCCTGCCCTGGAAATACCTGGGGGGTCTGATGCAAATTCACCTTTCCCATTCCTACCTTGTCAATTTGGGTAATGTGCAGCTGCCAAATTTGTGACCTCATAATGAAGTTTCTAGAAACATCAACAGTTGAAACCTCTGAAAAGCTTGTGCTGATGAGCGACCCGTGTTGATTACCCCCAAATGCCAGTGATTATTCTTTTCAACCAAAATATGAAAACAGAACCTGATGCTAAGCAAATGTTCACTTTTGTGGTCTTTAAAAATGTTATGAATTAAATTGAAAATAGAAATTACTCAGCACAATAATGCATGCTTACCAAGTGTTGTTATTTTGCACATCAGGTAATAAAACTGTGAATATATTGCTTATTGTAAGACCCCCCCCCCCTTAATGCTGTACCAGCAGATGGGCTAATAAATATGCAACATGTTGTAATGACATTTGCAATTTCAGAGAGGTAGAAGTCCCCTCTTCACACAAACAAAATGCACAATCATCCAATATTATACTTTCTAATGGAAAACAAGTCATATAATGTATGTAGCATTCTACTTTCAACAATTTTAGCAGTTTAGCAACAGCTATAATGCAAAAGAACATCAGCTAGTATTGATGTTTTCTCTTTGAAAGGAGTTTTTGCTTGGAAACTTTTCTGACTTTGCAAATAGGGAGTGTTCTTGCATCTTTATAACGAAGGGGACATCAATAATAATTGACACTTTATTTAGTCCAGTTTGCTTCCAGCCGCATGTGAGGCAGTATGGGTGATGGCAGGAGCAGGTCACAGTCACAGGCAGATCTCTGAGCTCATTAGCTTCCTTGACCTCAGGCAGGTCCCATTCTCTCTCTGATCCTCAGTTTTTGCATTTGCTAGCTGGGGCAGAAATGGTGCACTGCCTCTATTCAAGTGATGCCTGGCACATGGAAATGCTCAGTGGGTATTTGCTTTCACTGTGGGTAGAGTTTAACAAACAAGTGTGTGTGTGTGTGTGTGTGTGTGTGTGGTGTGTGTGTGTTTTGTTAAGGAAGGGTGACTTCAGTTCAAATCACGCTAGTGACTTCTACCCCCAGAGACAAGCTCTGCAAGTGCATCTTCTGCCTGTTGTTGGTAGTCTCCTTGGCCCTGGCAATTCCCACCCTTCCGTAGAATCCCCCTGCAGTGACTGGTCTGTGTGGTCACTGTGGAAGAGGATGGTGCATCGCTTCGAGGCTAGTCATAAGAGACATTTCAGCTTCCACCTTGGCTTCTTGGATTATTTCTCTCAGGGAAGCCAAGGACAATGCTTGGAGGTCCTATGGAGATGTCCATTTTGCAGCCCAAGCAAACTTTCAGATGGCTGCAGCCTGGGCCGAAAGACTGCAACATTATCAAAGGCCTCTGGTCGGAAGGAGTCAAGTTGCTCCTGCTATTTATTCTTGTTTTAAGCAAGTAAGGTTCAGAGTAATTTGGTATGCAGCCATAGACAACTAATATAACCTCTTAATTAGCATCAATAAACATTTAATCATTTTCTGTGTAGAGAACTTGAACATTTTTGTTAGATTTAACTTTTAAAATTATATTTATTCCAAGGTATTTGATATTCTTGATGCTTACACAAATGGTAGTATAAACAGTTCCAGAATTATGATGGTTTGATTTACACAATTTTTAGACTTTATGATGGTGGGAACCAGCAACCATTCTGATTTTTATTTTTCAGTAGAGTATTCAATAAATTGCATGAGATATTCAACATTTTATTACAAAATAGGCTTGTGTTACAAATTATTTTGCCCAATTATAGTCTAATGCAAGTGTTCTGAGCATGCTTAAGGAAGGCTAGGCTAAGTTACCATGTTTGGCAGGTTAGACATATTAAATATATTTTTAACTTATATTTTTAATTTATAATGGGTTTATCAGAACATAACTCCACAGTGAATTGAAAAGCATGCATATACTTTAAATTTCATTTTCTATTTTTTGTGTCTAGTATACAGAAAAACAATTGATTTTTAAATATTGACTTTGAATCCAAAATAACACTAATTCCTATAATTTGAAATAATACATTCATACAAGAAATGTTATTTTTCAGACACGATAGATAACTTTGCTAACTTCAGTAATTATCAGTAGGGTTCTCTTGACTTTTCTACCAGGACAATAATGCCATCTGTGGATAATGACGGACCTGTGTCCGTTCTAACTCACGCATCCGTTCTTTGGCTCACCTTATTGCATTGCTTCAGACAATCAGGACAGTGTTGGATGTAAGCAGCAGTGGTGGATATGCTGTGACAGTCTCTATCTCTGGAGGAAATCTAATGCTTCAACATTAAATGTGAGGTCTGATGAAGTTATTTTCTGCAGATGCCATCTATCACATTAAAGAACTTCTCTTGGTTTCTGTTTATCATGAATAGATGTTGAATTTTATAAAATTATTTTTTTTGCAGCCAAATGATCCTGTGATTCTTTTCTGTTAATGTAGTAAATTAAATGGATTTTCAAGGTCAAATTAGTCACTCTCCTTGTCTTTGGGACTAAACACTTGACATCTGCAACTTGAAGGAGGAGAGATCGATCTTGGCCCAGTTTGCTTAAGTTTCAGTCCTCGTGAGGCAGTTAGGCAGGTTGGTTGAGGGTGTAAGTGGCCCGGTCGCAGGACATACGGGCCAAATAATTCTCAGGACCCGGATGGAGACTTCTCGTGAGAGCCTGCGATGCGCGGAGTAAGAGAGACAAGATGCCATTAAGTGCGGGCTATGGTGGCTCTTCACGGCACCCTGCTCTGTGCCTCCAAGGCGTACTTTTGTTTTTTATTTTTATTTTTCCTCTTTTTTACTTGGCCCAAGTTTGCTCTGTAGAGCCAGTTTCTCCCTTACCCTTCACTTTTAATTTTTCCTACCTCAATTAAAGTGAAACGTTGCCACTATTTTTGCTTGGTGACGGAGCCCGCTGTCACCTGTCGAACGGTTCCTGAATGGGGAAGGGAGGATTGAGAAGAGAAAGAAAAGACAGAGTCGGGAGGGCTCTCTGTTACCGAGCTGCTTTATTGACTTTATTGCTCTCTTTTATAGCACTCGAGAATAGAAAACATCTTACATAAGGCACAGCTGGAAATTCCCCAGGCCTTGAGACAGTCCCGTGTTTTCTTTTCCCTAGCTCCGTGTCCTTGTGCTGTTCTTATCACTTTCTCCTACGCCTAGCTTCTTCAGAGCTGGGCAGCAAGCTCTACAATATTTCACTTAACCCTTTCCTAGGAAATCCAAGTTGTCCATCTTAATACTTATAGAGCTGTTGGCTCTCCACAGCTTGGTTTTTTTTTTTTTTTTTCAATTCTTTGTTTGAGATGGAAAGAATCTGGGCACCACCTCTAGAAGGAGACTCGGCATCCCCAAACCCAGTAACACTTGCGTGGTCGCAGCAGGATGGAAGGGCCTGGGCAGAAGGAAGCTGCTCGTGTCATGGCAGTCAGGCAGCAGAGACAGAGAGCTGAGGGGCTGGGGAGGGAGATGAACCCTTCCGGGTCATGATCCCAGTAGCTCACCCTCCCAACCAGACCCCACCCCCTAACAGCAAGTTAGCGATGTGGCCCCTACTCCAGCCTTCTTCCAAAAGCCCCACCCATGAGCTCATCAAGCTATTGGAGGACATCTAGATACAAGCCACAGCACCAATGAAGCTTGGATCCTTAAAACAAACTGACTTGATCACGATATTGGGCTTCCTCCTCTTTATATATCACTGAATTTGGGCTCCTGTGTTGAGATTTCTATACAGTGTTCATGAGAAATAATGGCCTATTATTTTTACTGTAATGCTTTTGTGAAGATTTCCTATCAAGATAATGCTGGCCTCTTAACACACATTTAAAGAAAGTTTTCCTTCTGTTTTACTTCCCAAAGGGTATGTGTAGGATTTGCACTAATTCTTCCTTCTAAATATCTGGAAAAAATCAATAGTGACCCAATTTGGCCTAGAGTTTTCTTTATGAGACGGTTTTAGAGGAACAGTTTTTATCAAGTGCCACCATGAGTTAGGACAGGAGTGAACATAGTTGGGGAAAGATTGTGAGTGGAGATAGCCTGGTGAATTTTGAATGTTTACATTTGAAAAAGTAATTATTTCATCTCCCCACACGACACACATAATGTAATTGGGCTATTCGTAAAATAATTAGTTTTTTAAAAAAGTAATTCACCATACAATGACAAGCAGTATGGCTCAGCAGCTGGCTTACATGCAAAGGTGAAGGAGAGCAGCTTTCTCTGCTGGGGGCTGTTGGTGTCCCTGGGAGGCCCTTGTCTTGGCCCAGATCTGGCGGCTCCTCTGCCTCTGCTAGGCCAGGCCCAGAGTCCAGCATTTGATTGTCTGATGCAGCAGGAAAGAGTGGTCATCTCCAGTTCTGTGGATGGAGGAGTTAAAGGCTTTTCCGGGCGGGGTGGGAATGACCCTGACCTTAGAAATGATCATTTCAGGAAACTCCTCTCTCACACGTGGTTGCTCTGGGTCAGAGGCAGCCTACGGTAGAGCAGCTGGAGATGGCCTGGGTGGAAAGGGGCAGAGACTGAGTCCCAGGATCTCAGGAATCAGCACAGTTCTTTTTATTGGTCCTGAAGCTGAGAGCTGAATGCTGCAACACCGATTCTTGGTATTCTCACTCCTCTGAATGTGTGAGTTTAACTCAAGATAAGCAATGCTCCAGGTCCTGTTAACTTACGAACTATCTGTTGTGTTAGAGTTGGAGGCACATTTCAGAACAAGTGGAGTGCTGATTATAAATGGCCCTTTAGTGCCAGCAGAAAGGTGGCAGCTGAGGATGCCAGGTTACTATAGAAACGCCAGGGGATCGGGAAGAGCAAGAAAGATGCTATGTGGAGAAGAAATAGATGTTTGAATTGATATCTGTGTGCTGTGCCTAATGTTTTTCTTTTATTAAATTTGCAGGTAATAGGAAGAATATCCCAATATATAAAAATACCAACAACCTTGAAAGGCCTTTGGATATAGGTGAAGGTGAATTCCTCATGGACTTTTTAGATGTTGACCATTTTTAAGTATAAGATCAGCAGATAAACAGAAAAATTAGTTTTCAAGGTGCAATAATGGAGCTGACCCCGAAGGAAGCAAAGTGCCACCACGAACACTTCCGCTGTTGATAAGCAGTGTAGATTTTAGCCATTAGGAGAACGGTTGCTGGTCAATAGTGTGCTGATAGTTATGCTGTGGGGTTCAACATCACATATGTCTGTGGAGCTGCCTGCATTGTCCGGAAAGTTCTCAGACCTGTTTGTGTCTCAGCTTCCTAATTTATGAAGTGGATTAATGCTTGCTTCAGAGTTATGTGGGTTAAATAAACAATGTGTACATACAGTTCAGTGCAATGCTTGGGAACCCCTCGAGAGCTCGATAAATGACCATGACAGTAAAGATGAGGACAGTTCCCATGAGAGTCTTTCTCACCCAGTGGCAATGGCCCAATTTCTGGGGCAGAGTTAAGTACTGAGCAGAATTATTGTCCAAAGATTACTTTAATGACTCACTAGGTCAAATAAAAAAAGATGGACAGTTTCCTTTTGATATATAGACTGGTGGTATTTGTCAAATTCAGCTCAGTGTGGATGCTACAGGAATACCAGAGGAATATATTTTAAAAGCAAACCATCGAGCTTTGAATAGAAGCCTGTAGTGATTGTTATATTGATGCATATGTTGTTTATGGCCTGGGACCAGTGGCAGATGTCTCTGGATCCCTGGGTTGGCCAGGATTGTTCAAGATACGGAGATGGGAAAGGAAAGAGGCAACAGGAGGGAGGAGAGGTAAAAAGGATCAAGATGTGACATGTAAATATACCAATTCCCCGCAATGAACATATTATGTATTGCACACATATACTAATAAAAATTGGAAAAAGAAAAAATATTAATCAACACATTCTTTAAATGCCCTTCATTATTTCAGGTGGATGAAAATGCTAATTTTCCAAAAGCATTATGAGACATTTACAGTACACACTATTTTAGAGGCAGACACGTACAATTTTTTTTATAGTTTGGTATTGGAAATGGAAATAAAACTTGATAATGCTGGAGTTAGTAAGAGAATCAAGAAAGTAAGGAGAAAAACTGCTCTCCACCTTAATGAGCTTATAACACCCTGAAAGCTGGGCAAAACAGCTCCTGGGGGACCATCAATTCCCTCCTCTCCCAGGTGTGAAGGCAGCAGACACCTAGGAGGGAGAGGGACCGGAAACGGGTTCTGTAGATGTTGGTATTTGTTTGGTGAAGAGTTCTGTATCTGTAACTTGTGATTGAGCTCTGAATAGAAATTTGGGAGAAACATTTGAAGGGAATGGATGACCTTCTGAATAAAGAATAAAAGCAAAATTGAAAACAATTATTTTTATAACTTCTTAATGTAATCTTATCACATCATTAGAAAAATCTCATTAATTTAGCCTGAAGGGAAGAGAGCCAGTCTAGACTTACACAGAATTTAAATTACAGGGTCTATTTAAACAAATAGACTTTACTATTTCAAATACTCTTCATATGCTCTAAAGTAAAAGATACATTAGGTAAAATGAGATGATTCAGGACAGCACCACACAATACTGTGAAGAAGAAAAATAAAAAGAACACATACAGGCTTGTTGGCCTGGAATGGATCATTTCAGAAATTCTCATTTCAGAGGATTTCAGAGGCTGCTGATTTGATTTTGGATTTTCACTTAGGAGTAGGACTTGGAAAATTCACATTGGAGTCAATTATTTTAACATGTAGGTTGATCTGAATTATTACAAATATTGAATAAATACAGTTTCAAAGAATCACTAATGTGTCTATTTTCTAGCCATTTCCCCCAATTCTCAGGAAACTTAATTTTCCATGAACTTATTGGATAAAACTGATGGTCCCATTTTTTTCTTCAGGGTAGTGAAAAAACATTTAAAAACAAATCTTAGCATCATGACAGACAAAAACGTGAAACTCTAACTTACATGCATAAAATATGTACATGTCTGTACATAATTTTAGGTGCAATGCTATAGCTATTGTGCACCAGCAGAGTGGTGTTTACCACCTGAAACTTCAAAGCCCTTGGCTCCGGAGGCTCAGGCACAAGTAATATAACCACAACAGCAAATATTCAACGAGTGCTAAGTGTGTTCTGGCCACCTTCTCATGGATTGTTCATCTGTTAGTCTCTTGGAAGTCTCCAAGTTTTCCAGCCGAGATCAAATTTGCTCCTTATGATTTTGGAAGAAATCAGTTTATGTTCTCACCCCGCAGATGGGCGTCACCTGGTTTGTGCTCCATGAAGATCCCTCAGCACGGCCTATAATCCTCCGGGGCTCTCTGACTTGGTCGCTGACTTACTGGTTTCCAAGCCTCCACTCTTCCTTTCCTTCTCCTCTCTTTCCTGCACCCTGACACCTCACTGTACACGAACTGTCTTATTCCCTTCACAGCCCAAAGTACTCCCTGTTCTGTATAGAAAACAGACTTTACAAAGGGTTTATGACCCTGAAGTGATGGCTTAAGCAAGGTTTTAAATTTAAGTGGCTTCCATCACTTTCGAACAATCACTCCACAAATCTTCCTTTTATTAATTTGGAAGCTGAAGCCCAGATATGTTCAGGGACAGAGATGTAATCTGACACCCAGGCGAAAGCATAAGGGGTATAGCTTGAAGTATATGTGAGATGAGACTGAAGGAAGCAAAACAAAGCAAGTTGCGTTTTCCATTCTAGTGGCCATCAACTACATGGGCCTAAAGCAAGTTGCCAGTATGGTATTGAATTGCTCACAGGTGAAATCCATCAAGTAATGGTTAGTTTGCTGATTGAAACTGTCGAATGTCACTGACACCATATGATACCCTTAGGAATCTCTAAACTGCTCATTCTAGAACCGCAGGAAATAGAGAAGAAAAGACACAAAATGAAAAAGGGCTCGGCCTGAAGGCCTTGGCCTCCACTGCATGTTAGGACCATTTGGGAAGCATTTAAACATCATGAGGCCCAGGGCGCAGCCCAGGCTAGAGAACAAAGTAGGAATCCAGAAGTGGGACTGAGGCAGCAGCAGTTTTTAGAGTCCCTAAGATGCAAGGTGTAATCAAGGTTTAGAACTATTATATGAGACTGAAAATAGCAATAGGCAAAATGAGGGAAAGATCTCACAAGTTATGAAATAATAAATGCAAACAGTGATGGCTCTTATACATTAAGGCCATAGACATTATCAGTGATAATGTATTTGCCAAGCAGAGAGAAGATTATAGTAGGAATCTCCCCATTTATTCTTTTCTATTTAT